TCTGCCCCTTTTCTTCCTAATTCACATTATCTATTATACCTTTTAGTCCTTATTTACACTTTCAGTTTCTCACACTAGTGAAACTATTTGGTATTTACACATGTGTGTCCTGTTTATTTCACTTACTATTATTTTTTTTGAGAGAGTCTCACTATATGGTTCAGGCTGGCCTTGAACACACTGTGTAGCCCAGGCTGGCCCCGAACATGGAGCGATCCTCCTACCTTGGCCTCTCGAATGCTAGGATTACAGGCATGTGCCACATACCCAGCATCAGTATAAATTTATAAAGTCAACAACTATGCTATATGAAACTATTTCTATACTTACTGAAGTATTCAGAAGTGACGGCCATGACTGATACTAAAATGGCTCAGAAAATACAAAATGAGAGCAAGATAATGAGAAGAGCGAGAGAAAGAAGAGATAAGAAAATGAGCAAATGATAGAGCAAATAGGGTAAAATTTTAACAATAGGTGAATCTTGACAGATATAAAAATGTTCTTTGCATTATTTTAATCTTGCGACATTTTATAAGTTTGAAATTAGTTCCAAATAAGTTATAAATACAATTACTCAGCTATACTTGTACTGTCTAATAGTGCCCTGAGCTATATGAGGCTGCTGACCAGCTGAAATATAATGAACACAAAATGTTCCAGTCATGCAAAATATACACATTTCAAATACTTAATGCAAAAAAATATAAACTAGCTCAATAATTTTTATATTGATTGTATGTAGAAATATTTTAAATATATTGGGTTAATTGAAAGAATATATTTACAATTAACTTTACTTTCTTCTTTTTACTTTTTAAAAATATGACTACCAGAAATCTTAACTTTCATGCATGACTCATGCTTGCATTAGACACAGCTGAGCTAGACAATCAAGCAAACCCACAATGTTAGGCTTCACAGGACTGCAAATTTCTCAGTTTCTTTCTGCTATAAGTACACCCCTATCTCTAAAAGTTATTTGGTTTTAGGCAACTTAAAAGTAGAAATGGTGTCTATTCACTGCTATAACCCCAGTATTTAATATTATACTAGAATCAAGTGTTACAAATAGTTGTTAAAAGGCATTATACTAAGAAAGGAGATCAGAAAGAATGAGCTCATTCTCATTTCTCATTCTTTGCTTACACAACTCTTTCCTAAAATGAAACTTATTCCTCCTCTTCTCTGAATCCACACATTCTTCAAAATCCCCTCTCAGGGCAATTTCCTTCAAGGTTACTCCCCATTCACACTACTTCATTATGATCTTTTCTCCTCTCCAGTGTACAGCCTTCACTGCCTTCGCCAATTTTCTTTAGCACTTAACATACAAGTTCTTTGAGACAGAAGTTGGGTCTCTTATTTCTCTTATTTATCTGTATCTTTCACAGTAACTAGCATAGTATGAACCATACCAGTCATTGAGCAATAGGGAAGAAATGGGAGTAAGTTGCCAAGAAAAGGAAACAGATTTGGAGCCTCAAAAATGTGGCAGTAGTCTCCAGTAGTCTTTGACATCTATTTACTGTGTTGTCTTAGATAAATCAATAAATAAATTAGTGAGTTTCTACTTCATTTTTAAAATCAGAGAGACCTGATGAACATAAAATAAGGCCTTCCCTTTCTATAATTCTGGAATAATTGAACTCTTTCTTTGGTAACATCTTTATATTCATCGGTGAAAGGAAATCTAATATACTACCCTTAAATCACAATAGTTCCTTAAGAAACAAATACTGACAGCGCCAGGGGTTTAGCTCCATGGTTTTGACTCCTGCCTCAAAAGCAAAAGGTCCCGAGTTCGATACCCAGTACCAAAAAAAAACATAGTTCACAAACTAGCTAAGGTACTAAATGCTGATAATCTTGGGCCGGGGATTTCGTCGCAAGCGCAAGGACCCGAGTTCGATCCCTGGTACCAAAAAAAAAAAAAACCAACACATAAAAATAAATAAATAAATGCTGATAATCTTTCTGGCTATCAAGCATTTTAATTTCAAGCTTTTCTTCAAAGAACTATTAAGCAAAATATTCAACCCATATATATTGGAACTACCTCACTACAGTTGTTGCTTTCCCAGACCTTTTCAAGCCTCAGAGTGGCATCTTTCTTTTAGTAATGTAATGAAGGAGGAAGAGGAGGAGGAGAAGGTAGAAAGGATGGGAAGGAGGAGAAGGAAGGACAAACAAGAAGAGGAGCAGAAACCAAATTTCTGTAAAGTACCCTGGGAACCTACTGGCAATATTCAGACTCTGCATTATAATATAAATGTATTGTCCCTTTCTTCTTTCAAAAATATTATTTAGCCAGGCGTGGTGATGCACACCTGTTATCCCAGAACCTGGGAGGCTGAAGCAGGAGGTTCCTTGTGAGTTTGAAGCCAACCTGGTTTACATGGAGAGCTCAAAGCCAGCCTGTCTCAAAAAATCAACCAATAAATAAATGAGCAATACATTGTTTAAAAGACTATTCAGAAGAAAATTATAATAGTTAAAATGAAAAGTTCATCTAAAAACAGAAGGTTAAAAAATACAATATAATTTTAAAGCATAGAGACTATTTCAAACAAACCTCTAAATCAGCGACTATAGTTTCAACCTTGTATCTTAATACCTATGCTGAGAGATGAGGTTATCAGGATAAGGTAAAATAAAATGGCTAAATACTTGTTAGTATGGTAGTAAACTAACTTAAATGAAAAATGGTAAAACAGTACTAATTAAATGGTAAAATACTTGTTAGTATATACCACCAACAGAGTTAATAAAACATATATTCTAGTTTCTGAACTAGTAAAGCAAACCACAAGATTTAAGACTTTTAACAAAATGTGCCTATTAAGTGCTGAGTATCAACACTGACTCATCACTAGATAAAAGTTGAAGTCCTTCAAAGGGACTCTAGATCCTGTCCTAATTAAGTCTCCAGCTACCAGTGTGGCTTCATTTCCCACAAATCTCTGGATATCATCTCACTTCCTAAACTTACATGCTCACCCTCCTAATACCACTTGCTGCTTTTATGACTCCACACCCTTGCATTTACTGCTCCCTCACCTGACATGCCCTTCCCTCTGTGTAAGTCTGTCTCCCGCCCCTCCCGTGCCGCCCCTCCCCTCCCGTGCCTCTGCCCCCGGAAGAATTTCCTGATTGCACCCACACCCTCCCACAAAGTGCTCCCAGGGCTCTCTTCCCCGAGCTTCAGAGCATCATAATTAAGTGTCCATCTCCCCACCCAGGCTTCGAGTTCTACATGGGAGGACCCAGACCTTATTAACCTGTTTTCCTGCCCCTACCTTGACGCCCAGCATTTGCTCAACTCCATATAACTCTACTGAACAGAAGAAAGTTACCGCAGAGAAACACTTAAAACTTTCCTATTAAAGAATGAATAAATACATTTAACACAGTGGTTCTCAACTAGGGGCAATTGTGTCCCGAGGAGACAGTTGGTAACTTCTAGAGATATTTTTGGTCATCACAATAGGGAGGAAGAGATTTGAGGGACTGCCTACAATGCTCGAGGCTGCCCCAACAACAAATTATCTGCTCACAAATGTCAACAATGCCAAGGTTAAAAAAGCTCAATTGTCAACTGACTTATTCAAATATGATTCAATAACACATCTCAGCAATAATCACAACAAATTCCAAGTCTGTAGTTTCACTTCAAACATCTGAACAGTTGATATGGATGCACTAACACTAAAAATGATCTCCCTATCCTCTCGGTGCTTAACATTAAATCAAAAATCCTAGAACACATCTCATATTTCTCAAAAACTAATCTATAACTGCCAGAAGCTACTGTCGATTCAGAAAATATTTTATTTGTACACTTCAAAGCAAATCACGGGCAAAGCAAGGTCCACTTGGGGAACTATGACAGAAACACAATCTGAGGCGAGAGGTAATCAGTTCCTCTAGGTCTGATAAAAGCACCGCAAGTAAATTAGGCACAGATGTCTTTACCGTTGAACAAAGAAACTGGAGACAGTAAAAGACATGTCCTTCCTACTGCCAAATCAATGCTTGTCAGGATTTCAAAAAACTAAGAAAACACTGGGAGAAGAATATCAAATGTCAATATAGGGGTTCGGATCAGGAGTGAATTATTTCTCCCCCCAGATATGGCAAGTTCAACACAACTTTAACATTCCGGGAGAAAGAAGAACACTCCTTCGCAGTAGAGTGTGGTGCCGCAGTCCTGTAATCCCAGCACTCTGGGAAGCTGAGGCAGGAGGATTCCAAGTTCTTTTGAGCGGCCTGGGCAGTTTAAAAGGTGCTGAGGATGTAACTGGGTGTTGGAAGGCCCTGGCTGCAAGTCGCAATACCGCAAAATAGAGGACGGTACCGCCTGTAGGAAAGGCGAGTTTATGTTATTCTGGGAGCTGATTCCTAAACAACGCTCTCCGGGCTTTCCAGGGCTCTTTTTAGCTCCAAGGTTTTTCCAGATTCTGGATTAGCGATAGTACCAGATGAAACCGAAGAAGGCTATGCCATGTAATAGGGCGGACTCATTCCCGCACAGCTAAAATAAGGTCCTGGGGTTCGAAGGGGAAAACGCATTTTCAATTAAAAAAGAAAAGACAGAAGAAGAAAGTTTACGGCGTGAGTAGCAGCGCCTTCTCATCTGCCTCTCCAGGAAGTGTCAGCGCACGGTCGGGGCCACGCCAGGCCAGGCTCTGCCCTCGGCGGTGTCCGGGGCGGCGCGGGCGAGCAGGTGCGAGGGCCGGGCCGGGCCAGGCCTGGCCGGGGTCGGGAGGGAGGGAGCAGGCGCAGCCCGCGGGGTCCCCGCCCCGGAGCCCGGGACGCGCGGGCGCCACACCCTCCAGCCCCGCGCCAGCTCCAGCCCCCGGGTGCCCGGGCCGGACGACCAGGCCTCGGCCGGGCTGCGGGGCCTAGAGCAGGAAGGCGCCGCCCGCCGCCCGCCGCCCTCCGCCGGGCCCGGCGCGGCCGCCCGCTCACGTGTGGCCGGACGGCGGTTCCACCCTTACCCGCTGCAAGATCCTCCTCAGCATGGCTCACACGCCGGCGCCGCCGCCGCCCGACTCTCCGGACCCTGGCGCGCTCCTCACTGCTTGCGGGCCTGGAGGGGACAGGGAGCAGGTCGGGGCGAGCGGTGGTGGCGGCCGCGAAGGCTGCCCCGACTTCCCCACAGGCGGCGGGAGGGAGCGAGCGCGAGGGCGACGCGGCACCAGCGAGCGCCCGCCCGCCTGGCCGCCCCCGTAACTGACAGCGGGGCGGGCCCGCCCGCGGCAGCCGAGGGGCGGAGCCGACACCGCCCCGCCTCCAGGCCCGTCCATCCGCGGGGGCGGGGCGAAAGGGGCCGGCCCAGGTCTGCGGCCAATCGCAAGCGGCGGGCGCGGGGGCGGCTGCGTGACGGACAGACGGCAGGACGGTGGCGCTGCGGCTCCTTCCGGCGGGCTGGAGGACGCCGGGCTTCCCAGTGCACGACCGGGCTCCGACGGAGGACCGCGCCCGCGTACCTGTTGCTTTCCAGCCAGCGTAACCGGAGACCTCCGGTGTCCAGCCTGCGGGTGTCCCGGGCGCCGGCGGGAGCAGGGGACGCCCGCATGATGCCACTGGCGGCTGCGCTTCAGCCTGTTTTGTAAAATGTGTCAGTGAGCCCCTTCTCGGGACGGCTCCTGCCTGGGGACACTTCAGGGAGCCCGAGCCAGATCCAGATTCGTGCAATGATAGCTCAGCCCCTGGTCCGCAGAGGACAGACCCGCTCGCCTGCGTACCCAACTGGGCTGCTGGGCTTCCCTCTGCTTTTCCAGCCCCTCTGCCTTCCTGCTTCCCATTCCAGCCACAGTGAGGAACCAGGAAAACGGATGAGAAGAAGCTAGAATTTGAATTGGCAGGAAAAGTTTGGGGTTGTCCTTTTGGACCATGACACTATTTACTGGGCCGGTGTCACTTTCCAAAGCCCATTCTTAGCCTCTTCTGAGGAATGTTAAGTCCTATTCTGGTAATAGGTGCATCAATAAAACGTCATTAATACCTATGTTATCTATCTTAATCTGTAATGAAAAAAAGGTTGCAGATAATCACGTGTCCAAACAAGATGTGGACTTGGAACTGACCTCGAGACACAATGTTACTGTTTAAACTTGAAAATCAAAGCTCCTGTCCCCTACCATTCTGCCAGTGTTCACAAGCCAAGGAACTCAACTTTCACCCTGGGCTGGAGGAGGGAAAAAAGGCTTTCATGTTGCTGAAATGGGAAGAAGAAAGCATAATGGATTAACCTTGCCCAAGACGGTCAGCACCTTGAAGTCTGTGAAGCTTAATGGGAAAGTACACTGAAAAGATGCAGCAAACTATTATTTTCACATGAGTTAATGAATGTGAAAGTATTTTGTAAAGTGTAAAAGATTATATAATATGTATTTCCCAAATATATTTTGTTTTTTACTGTATATTCATCTGTGTACTGCCTCAATCGTGCCTACAATTGATATATTATTAATTACTATTGATAAGCCACTTATATAGCAAACACTTTTCCATCTTTTTAGACACAAGGAGCTTTATTCAGACAATATGAGAAACATTCTCAATGACACAAGGTGATAAAAGTGACTTTTGTTTTTCAAATTTTACTTTAAAGCTTCTTTTTTTTTTGGTACCGAGGATTGAACTCTGGACCTTGCGCTTGCGAGGCAGGTGGTGGAACCACTGAGCTAAATACCTGGCCCACTTTAAAACTTCTTACTAGTGGCACGTGCCATGTCCCTCTTGCCTGGAATTCTTACATAGAATCTTTTCATTATTATAATAAGCTCTCTACTCCTCATCTAGACAGGTTCAGAAATCTTTGTACTCCCTTGCAGCTTATATCACTGGACTAATATGCCAGAGAACTTAATTACTCCCAAAGAAAATAAGCTGTAGTAGAGATATAATCATGTAAGAATGCCCTTCACTAATCCTACACATAGCAATCGTGCTTACCCTACTCATTTGTGACCACTAATTCTTCACTCGTCTCTCATTTAAATTAACATCCCCACAATCATCACTTCTTTGACCTGCATCAAGACCTCCAATCCACTGGGCTCTTTTACTTTCTTTCAGTCATTTCTCACCTATATCAAAACCCACCTTGAAGTGCATGATCCAACTTTAGGTTGCACACTGTACATATGCTTTACTTCTCCATTTCCCATTGTTTTCATCTAGCACAATCTAAAACCTGGTTAAACCCAACTGTCTACCTGCTGTGCTGCATGAGAGCAACTGATTCTCACTAGAGATGTACATACATAACGAGGGTTATTGGTCTCCATTCACATTAATGGCCGCAGGACTCAGGCATTCAACAATGATGAAAAGAAAGGAAGGGTAGAGGAATGGAACAGAAGGGCAGGGGAGGCAAAAGGAAAGAAAGGAAGGAAGGATGGGAGGGAGAAAGACAAATTTCAGACAGGTTTTGGTAATACAATAATTAGATAAATCTTCCAAAGTATGTAGACTTTTGCTCAGACTGTGGTGATTTAAAACATACCTGCCAATTTTTTTACTCTCTTCCCACCAAAAGGTAGAATCTAATTCTCCACTTGAAAGTAGGGTAGATTTAGTGGCTTGTTTGCAATGACTAGAATGTGGTGGAACTGACAGGGCATGACTTTTGAGGCCAGCATAGAACTGTTTAACAAAAATGAGTGAAGTGTTTTATTATGTAGTTGTTCTCCCAATATACCTCCAAAATAAGTGTTTTTTGAAAATCACATCCTATAAATTAATTAGTTTCTTATTGTGAATGTGTAGAGATGCACAATTTTAAGTAAAAGCTACTTTTTTATTAGTGTTATTTTTATTGACAATAATTATACATGTTTGCCAGGTAATGTGATGTTTTGAAGTACATGTCATGGGTCATGATCAAATCAAGGTGAGTGGCATATCATCACCTTAAACTTTTATCATTTCTTTATGGTTAGCACACTCAAAATCCTCTCTTCTATTGTGAGATATACCATACTTTCTTGTGAACTCTTTACCCTGCTGTGCTATAGAATTCCAGAACTTACTCTTTCTATGTACCTGTATCATTGTACCTGTGGACCAACCACTCTCTTCTCCCCTACCCCCTTTTCATCTCTAGTAATTACTGTTCTCAAATTTTATTAGACCAACTGGTTTTTTAAGATTCCACAAAGTGAGGTCATACGGTGTTTATGTGTCTAGACATGCAAAATTTTCAAGACTGTATCTGTTTTGTTAGCTGGGCGAGGTGGCACAGGTCTATAATCCCAGCACTCTGGGAGACTAAGGCAGGAGGATCACAAGTTGGAGCCCAGCCTGGACAATCTAGCAGCATAGTGAGACCTTGTTTGGAGATCAAAAACTAAAAAAGGCACTGGGGGTGTAACTCAGTAGAAAGGCCCTGGGTTCAATCTCTAGTACCAAAAATTAATTAATAATATATCTATTTCTTTCTTCCCTTTCTAAATATTAAAAAGATGAAGATTATTACTCTGCCCAATTATGTGATTGAGAGAAAAACTCCAATCTTGCTGTTAACATATAATATAACAAAAGGTAGTCATGCCCAATTATGTAGAAGGTTGGCAGGTTACATCTCCTACTTCCTTAGTCCATGTTATATCATATGGTAGACAGATAGGCAGAGTCCCCAGTGTCAAATCCATGGGAAGAGGTCCTCTCTACAATATGACCGTATAATTTCCTAGTTGTAGTCAACCCAGTTGCAGCAACAGGAAGGCCAGCTGGGAAAAGCATAGCAGCGGTGTTTACAGCGATACAGTAAAACAGGCACTAAAACACATATTGCTGCCCTCCTGAACCACCCAGTCACACACTAGAACAGCTCCACTTTGAACAGACTTAGCCAGCATGCATGCAGAAGAGTGATGGGCATCATTGATTTCAATAATTTTGGCTAAGCAAGGTGGGCTACCCCTGGGCTGACAACTACAGGACTGTGATCATACAGCCCCACACATTTGCAAAGGGTTATCAGCCACTCTGTGGCTTTTATCGGTCTACTGTCTATTTGCTGGTGATCCCCAAGTCCAGCATAGATCTCTTCTGAATATGAAATCTGACTGTTCAACAGCCTATGGAACAAATCCATTAGATATCTTAGGAAATCCTGCAGCTCAATCCAAAAGTCTCAACTCCAAACCGAATGCATCATCTTTTTCTCTGTACCTTTCCTGCCCTTCCCTCTGAGCTTCTAGGATCCTATTTGAGTGCTTGCTACCACTATGCCCAAATTAGAAATCTAAACACCAGCCTTGTCTGTTCGCTTTTTGCTTCTGCTTATATGCAACTAATGAGCTAGTCCTATAAATTCTACCTCACTACACTGCATTTTTGTGCCACCTCTTTTTAACCTGGGTTGCTACCTCTCCTCTCTGCCTTTGATCTTACATCCCTCCAACTCATTCTCCACACTAGTCAGAGTAACCTTGCTGAGCCAGGCATGGTGGTGCACTCCTGTATTCCCAGCACTAGGGAGACTGAGGCAGAATGATGGCTGTGAGTTCAAGGCCAGCCTAGCCTACGGGGTGAGTTCAAGGCCAGCCTAGCCTACAGAGTGAGACCCTGTCTCAAAAAAACAAACCAAACCAAACCAAAATCAAAAGAAGAATGATTTTGCTAAAGCACAAGTCTGACCTTCATTCCCCTGCTTAAAATTCTCACCAAGTTCCCCAGTTTGAAGACAAACACCCAAACTCTTTTTTGTGGCTTTCAAGGACTTCACATGCTCTTTCCCCAGCTATGGTCCTGACCTCATCTCTTGACATCTTTTTCTTTACACTGTGCACATCAGGCATGCTGAACTAATTGCAGTTTTCTGAATTCATCACGGTCTCTCCCTTACTCCATTACATACATGAGGGGTAATCAAATAATAAAGTGAATGTTTAAATTAAAAACTCATATTAGAGTGAAAGACACATTGCCCAGCGTGGTGGGATAAGTGTGCTCAAAATGAGGGAGGGTATTTAAAAAGGATTAATGACAATGTACTTTCACTGTAATAATTGCCTTATTTCCAGGGATTTAGCTCAATGGTTTTGCCACCTGCTGCGCAAGCGCAAGGACCCAAGTTCGATCCCCAGTACAAAAATAATAATAATAATAATAATAATTGCCTTATTTAAATATTCACCATGTTCTTTCATTACCCTTCACTGATCAAAATTTCTATCAAATTAAAATATTATGGTGTGTCCTC